CAAGAAAATGTGAACTTAGGTTCAGAGAAAGAACCTGCCTCAAAGGAGTAAGTGGAGCGTGAAAGACGAGGACACCCAGTGCCGCCTTCTGGCCTCTGCCTGTGCGTATGTTCCCATATACTCCCCCAACAGGTGCACACACAAATAAACCGATCTTAAAAAAGAAAAAAGGGGGCTGGAGAGATGGCTCAGCAGTTAAGAACACATGTTGTTCTTCCAGAGGACCCAGGTTTGATTCCCAGCACCCACACGGTGGCTAACAAGTACCTGTAACTCCAGTTCCAGGGATTCCAACACCCTTTTCTACCTTCTGTGGGCATTGCATGCACATGGTGCATTTACATACAAGCAGGCAAAACACTCATTTTTTTAAAAAAAATAAATAAAATCAGGCTGGGCATGTGATACACATCTTTAATTCTAGGCAGAGACTGGCACATCTTTGTGAGAGTAAAGCCAATCTGGTCTATATAGCAATTCCAGGCAGGCTGGGGCTGAAGGGAGACCCTGTCTCAAAAAACTTAAAAAAAGAAGGAAGGAAGGAAGGGAGGGAGGGAGGGAGGAAGGGAGGAAGGAAGGAAGGGGCCCCAGTCAAAGCAAGAATGTCAAGCTGCCTAGGTGTTCAGCTTCTTTTAAATGACTGGACAGTGGGCAGCCAAGATGTTTCAGCAGGTAAAAGTGCTTACAGCAAAAAACTTTGGATTCAATCTCCAGACTCCATAGTGGAAGGAGACCATCAACTCCCAAAAGTTGTCCTCTAACCTCCACACATGAACCTGAGTGCGTGCGTGTGCGCGCAAGAATGTCAAGCTGCCTAGGTGTTCAGCTTCTTTTAAATGACTGGACAGTGGGCAGCCAAGATGTTTCAGCAGGTAAAAGTGCTTACAGCAAAAAACTTTGGATTCAATCTCCAGACTCCATAGTGGAAGGAGACCATCAACTCCCAAAAGTTGTCCTCTAACCTCCACACATGAACCTGAGTGCGTGCGTGTGCGCGCACACACACACACACACACTCACAAATTAAAAGTAAATAAACATATAAACAAATTAATTTGAAAATTAAAAAATTAATTTAAAAAACCTGGCCAAGCTACAAGTAGAGAAGGAAAAAAAAAAAAAAAAAAAAAAAAAAAAAAAAAAAAAAAAAAAAAAAAAACCACCTTGAAAACCCCTAAAATAAGTTACAGTAA